CAGCTTGGTAGTTAGACGACAGTGGTTGCTGTCGACGAGACCCAGGTCCACTGAGCTCATAATCCTCGAAGTAAGCTGGAGGGTAAACTCGTCTCCTTGGTCGTGCGACAGGGGTTTCTCTTCCTGGATGAGACATAGCTGTAGCAGTCCACTCATCCGGCTCGAAGGACCATGTAAAAACTGCTAACCACTCTTTTATATTTTCTGGTTCGGATTAATTGAACGGCTACAGGTTGTCCGGTTAGAACAGTATGTCTCACACCAGGGGGTTCTTGTAGATGCTTTATTGTGCAAAGGTCAGGCATGTAACCATGTATGCGACCATGTATGTGGTTCTGCAACAAACAATATACAGAATATGAATAAACTTAATTACAAATCACAGATCTACAACAGTACTACAATACTGGTATAAATATAATCAACAAGGTTAAAGGGCCTTAAAGAAATAAAGCAATATGATAATATACATATATTTATAATTCTGTATCAATGATTATTTCCACACTATATGTCTAATTCACGCAGTGCTATCAGCGAAAACATCTAACGCGCCCGATAGACATGCCCGTACATGTTCCCCGAGACCCAATCGAAGTCCACACAACATACGAATATATCAACACTATGCTGATAACAATACAGGAGGATAACTTGCTATTTAAGTGACAATACAAAGTGCAAACATAACCAACAATATGAATACTCAGATAAAATGCTGCGACAGCGCTCTTCAATCTCCCTCACGGACATATTATGCGATAAATATGCAAATGTACTTACTATTAGCTGCACGCACACACATAATCTTTAAATCCTTGAACGACAGCACTTTGATCGAACTTAACTGTTATTCACTATAAACACATCTACACATCCTCCATTCAGACGATCTGACTTCTTAACTCTCCCGAAACTTTTCCGCACAGTCCAACTCACGAACAGAGGCGGGGGAGATCGGGAGAGTCCAATTCCAAGGGGTGGCCTTTTCTACAACCAAAATAAACATAAATGGTCACAAAATTCTAAATATTAGGTGAAAAATGCCCCTGTATGAGTTCTCTTTACACACACACACACACACACACACACACACACACACTACTTATGCAATATAACACAAAATAACAGCATGAGTGCAAATTGATATTGATTTTACACAACAGTTAAATAAAAGAAATAAGTTAATATTAAGTGGCTCATATTTTAAATACAATATTGTCAATATTACTTAATTTTGATCTATTTCACCAACGAATGTCGTTCAAAACAAAGTCACAGAACCATTGCAGGTCTCCTAACAACACAGCGGCGTTCGAATGAATCGCAGTTTTGAACGAATCAAAGATTAATCACTCATTAAGACAATGACTTGACGCTAGCTAAAAAAAGTATAAAGTAAGTTTTTGTTCCATTTCAAAGTACAAAGTGGTTTCACGACGCGACATCAATCCGGAAGTCGGCCATTTTGGAGGCACAGAACGTAAATAATGCCACTGAACTGAATGGACTCGCAAATTTGGCTGATTATTGCTGCTGAAAAATGGTCGAGGTTTGGTCTATACCAATCGGTCACATCGGGAAAAAACATGTCGAGTGCTATAGACTGTCAAAAGTTAAAGAGAAGAGTGCAAAAAACTGATGAAAGAAGGCGTTTGTGGTTGAGAGAGGTACAGCATCAGACACGTGTAAATGAAGCGTTGACTATGGCTAAAATGTCGACCTAGTTAACTATGGCTACATTCACACTGTCAGTCCAAATCCGATTATCTTTGTATCAAATTGGAATCTGATCTAAAATGATGTCCACACTGTGTATCGCAACTGTTTAGATCCGACGTGTGTGTCCATGCATGTTATTTGGTAATATGGCAATGACTTTGCGTTGATAAGGGGGTTGCATTTGCAATATAATGTTAGATGTTGTCTTTTTTAAATGTTACAACATGGAAATGTGTAGCCACCGCGCTGGACTACTGCGGCAGAACTGTAGGAGGCTGGGATGTACTGCTTTTTTCCCACGCTCGTCTGCGCTGGTTTCAGAAATAATACTTTTCTGCTCGTCCGGCACTTTGCAACAACACAGCATTGTTTCGGCACTGACTTTCAGCATGTTTCCTATAAATGACGTTTGCATTTTAAAGGTGCCCTAGAATGTTTTTTTATTATTATTTTATAATGTTTCCTGGGTTACCCTTATAATGTTAGTATGTTTTTTAGATAAAAAATAATCATAATTTAGAAATAAATGGCATTTTTCCTAGCCTGCTTTTAGCCTCTGATTTGAACACTCTGTTTGAAGGGGCGTGTCTGTTGTGGGATTCAGTGTAACCGCGGCCACTGCTGTGATTGGCTGTGGGATTCAGTGTAACCGCGGCCACTGCTGTGATTGGCTGTGGGATTCAGTGTAACCGCGGCCACTGCTGTGATTGGCTGTGGGATTCAGTGTAACCGCGGCCACTGCTGTGATTGGCTGTGGGATTCAGTGTAACCGCGGCCACTGCTGTGATTGGCTGACATGCTTGCATATGAAATAGCAACGCATTACATGTGAAACTCTCTCCCGAATACTTTTACTACTGCTATTATACGTTTTTACTATAACAGCTATCGAGATTAATGAATCGTGAGATGTTTTTAAAGTATTTAGATCTATTCCCATCACATAAAATGTTGCCGTGATGAGCATTGAGCAGATGACAGTGTGTTGATCGCGAGAATGAAGATCTTATCATTGCAAAGCAGTTTCTGCACTCTCTCTGCTTTCACCAATGCAAACACGATGATGTAAATACAGTAAGAGCTTCGTTGTGCAGTAACGTGCGTTATTGATTTCATAACGAGTTTGGCAAGTGTCCAGATAAACTCGCGCTGTGTGGAAAGATTGTTCTTTGATCGCTTTCTGTATATAATTTGTTCACAAATTAAATACGATTATTTTCATCCTACTAAAAGAAACGATGTGAAGCTGATATTTTAGTCACTGGCTTGACTTACTGATGCATAAACAGTATTGAACGATTTTGAGAGAAAGATTACCTGTCTGAACTTGAACAATTACACATCAGAAAGTGTTGCTTGGTAGCTCGATCCGAGGCCAGCTCTGTATTGGCCCAAGTTGAGGAAACAGTCGGTGAAATGTTTGGAAATGTCCAGAGAAAATAAAATTAACCCATTGTTTCTTCAGAGGCTCAGATGAAGGAACTAAAAAATACTTTTGTGTTCATGTGTACATCCACACTGAGCAACTGCCATGCTTCGGCTGCGCAGTTCCGCCTGGCATTGAGGGCTGGCATTATGCAAATATTTGGAGGCGTACATATTAATGATCCCGACTATTGCGTCACAGTCGGTATTGTGTGGAGAACCGACCGTTTTTCAGGGGTGTTTTTCATAAACGTGAATTAAATGAGAACGCGAAAACAGTCCAGTTTGAGATTCACTCTATGTCATGTCCATGCACTGAACTCTTGTTATTTGACTATACCAAGGTAAATTCAATTTTGAACTATAGGTCACCTTTAAGACATACCACGCGAAATCCGATCGTTCAGACTGAGGATGTCCTGATATGTGATTTGAATAGGATTTCAAACCACATATGGATGTAACTTGAAACGGATTTCATGTGCTTTTTTGGACTGACAATCTGAACGTATCCTATGTCGGGATAATAAATAGATGGAAGAATTGCAGTAATGTTACGTGCAAGAGAAGCTAACTCGTTCGGATCTTTACCACATATGAACTTTAGTTTGTCAAAATGTTGCGCTCTCTCCTGCTTCCCAAGTCCTTCTCTATATGATTTCGCACCTACCACGTGTTTTTTCCGTGGTTTATTAGTGTAACAGTGTGTTCAGTAGTACATAAACAGTGCAATCCATGCTGTTGTTTACATCCGAGTGCCTCCATAATGGCCGCGCATCCGGGTTACCGCCCAGAACGTGACGTTGGTGAAACCCCTCTACTATATTGAAAATGTTATTTTTCAAACATAAATTCATAATTTTAATTATGCCATTGTAACTGCAGTGTAAATACATATGCCACCTTTGAGCTGTACTAAACAGTCTGGGTAAATACATATAAATGCCCCTTCTGAGCACAAACATGGATTATGTTGATACCAATTTCATTTATAAAAGCATTTAATTTAAGTAATTGATTACTTAATCAATTAAGCGTTCACAGCCGAGGAGACCGACGCTCTTGTCAGGGCCGTGAAAGACAGAGAAGTGGCGGTGTATGGGGATGGGAGATTTTTTTTTTCCTGGTTCTTTACGGGCAAACTAATTTGTCAGATGTCCTTATATATGTGTCTTGCCACTATTGGGCAAACAGGTCTGATCCGTCATTACTACAGTTAGCCTGAAACATGTGGGTAAATGTGTAAGCTAGATTTAGGCCTACATTTTTTTTACATCTTCATGGACACCACAATGATTTCCCTCATGTGTTAATATTTTTCCTTGTTATTCCTTGTATGATTTGCAAAAATAAAAACTGCTGCATCTGTGTTGATGAGAGAAGTGTATGCGCGATGTGCACCCGCTACATTATGGCCAAGCATGCGCGCTTAAAATAGCATTATGAACAACGCGCCACTGACTTTAGACTAGTTTTGTTCTGGTCAGTGGCGGAATTGTTTTCTGGAACTGGAAAATAGCACTAGGGAAAGTTTGCGCCGGAACACGCCTCCTTTTTGCGGCGACCCGCCCAGGGAGCGCAAGTTCATTCCCTAGTTTACCGACGTGCGTCTGTGGAGGGAAAAGCCCGCTTTGCGCGGGTGCAAAATAGGAATGATACATGCGTCAGTGTACAAAGTCATTTGCGCCGGGTGCAAGATAGGGCCCTATGAGTTCATTCATCTCCTAAGTGCTTCTGCATGTGCATCTGTCGTTACATGAGGAAAGATACTACAGTCTGTCAGTGTGAGTGTGTGTGTGTGTGTGTGTGTGTGTGTGTGTGTGTGTGTGTGTGTGTGTGTGTGTGTGTGTTACCGTGGTGCCGCTGCGGTACACTGGTAGATTGATACTGCAGGAGGTTCTGTTCATAGCACCGCTGTCACGATCACCACAGCTGCTTCGAGTCCGGCTGGGCTGTTTGTTGAACACACACACACACAAATTATATAACCCTTAAAGGGCCATTCACACTGCACCAACAGACACCGACCAACACAGACAATCACCACCAGATTACAGTACGTCACGTTTCAGACATTCCCACGACCCAAAAAACATCTGGCAACATACAACACTGATTCAACAAAACTCTACAAAGTGTCTGTAGCTGTTGGTCGACGTCTGTGAATTGGACTTAAAACAACACAACATAAATGATTTAGACTTATATTTAGATATTTAGAAACCTCTTTTATATCTTTGATTCTTTGACCTATATCTTTTTGTAAATTTAAACTGAATAATTCAGATTGTAGAATTGGCACCATTTCAGTTTAAAAATTGGAATTTAAATTGAATTCTGAATGACACACAACTGTAATATCAGCGTTTTACTGGAAATGAAGTTCTGTCATGAACCTCTAGATGGCGCAGGCTGATTGGTCTTTAACTCATTTGGTAGCGATCGCATCATCATCTCTATAGCGCAGCTGATTGGTTGCTGTTGCATCAGTGGCCAATGAGCTGCGGCTCAACATTCAAACAAACACCAGCAGTGTTGCTGTTAGCAGTTAGCAGTTAGCAGTTAGCAATCTGCGGCGCGCTTTCAGAACGCATCTGAAATCAACATCTAAGATAAGTGCACACTCTTTAACTCCATATCTCTGTGCATATTGTGTGGTTTGCTTATTAATTCCCAAATGAGCAATCATAACAGTTTAATCTAAGCGTTTCGTTAACAATCTTGTGGAGTGATTTACTAAGCATATAAGCTGCAGCATTTACTCAGTTGTGTTTATGCCGCAAGCAAGCGGTCTGTTGTATGTCATTGCTGTGAGGATATGCTGTCTAAGCTACGGATATGAGAATAGGTTAAAGTAATAAGCATTCGCGCTTTCAACAGCGTTACCATGTTTATCTGCATACTCTGTGTTACAATTTTTGGTAATTTCCAAGGGCAATTTTATTTATTAGCTATGCTATGCTAATGTTTGTGGTTGATTTTTAACTGCGCTCAGCGTCAGACCACGGTCTATCTTTCTTTATTGTCTCAACAACAATTTTTCACTAATCAATAAGAGTATAAGGTTATATCAATAATGCATCACATGATTTAATTATGATACTTGCTCAGGTGCTTGCTGCGTTTTTATTTCTATCTCTATCAGCTTGCAATGTACATCTATTGTTAATGAGAACACCTAGTGCGTGTTCCTAGAGCTTTTAGGGTTCCCTGTTCAGTAAGGTAGCCCAGGCTAGGGGTGTTGAAATCAATCGTTTCTACGATGCACCGTGATGCGGACATGAATGATTCTGCGTTGATACAGTAATAAACCATAATCGATTATAGTACTGACGTTTCTCTGACGTTATAATTGTACAGCAATAGTCTCTTTCAGCTGTTGCACAAATGTGCTCCAAACTCAAAATATAGAGCGGCTGGGAAAAGCTGTGCAACTGTGGCATTGGCTGTACAGCCTTTAACTATCTGAAAGATGGTCTGCACTTTTCTCATGTCTTGTCTCCTGCTTTGTTGGGGGGTTAATTCATGTATGTGTGCAGGAGCAGCAGAAGCATGTCTTAAATGCTCACAGCAATGTCTGTGAATGTATTCGCAGTAGCAAGTCTTGGTACTTGCTCTACAGCAGCGTAGGCAAGGCAAGGCAAGTTTATTTATATAGCACATTTCATATACAATGGTAATTCAAAGTGCTTTACATAGGAGGAAATAATTAAAACAGTTTATAATAAAAAATAAAATAAAGTACAGTAAAAACAGTCGGACGAACATTGGTATATATATACCAATTGGCTTCATCACTGTCTCCTCTCCACCAGTAAGCTGGTGTGTGGTGGGCGTTCTGGCGCAATATGGCTGCCGTCGCATCATCCAGGTGGAGCTGCACACTGGTGGTGGTTCAGGAAATTCCCCCTTCTATGTAAAGCACTTTGAGTGCAGAGAAAAGCGCTATATAAATGTAATGAATTATTATTATTATTATTATTATTGGCACAGTGCTCATTCAGTAAATGCATAGCTAAACAGATGTGCTTTGAGTCTGGATTTGAATGTGACTACTGTAGGAGCACATCTGATCTCCTCTGGAAGCTGGTTCCAGCTGCGGCTGGCATAGTAGCTAAAAGCAGACTCTCCATGCTTAGAGTGAACCCTTGGTATTTCTAGCTGATGTGATCCTAATGATCTGAGTGATCTGTTGGGTTTATATTCAGTGAGCATATCTGCAATATATTGAGGTCCTAGCCCATTGAATGATTTATATACCAGTAATAATACTTTAAAATCAATCCTAAATGTAACTGGGAGCCAGTGTAAAGACCTGAGGACTGGTGTGATGTGTTCATATGTTCTGGTTCTGCTCAGCGTTCTGTATGAGCTGCAACTGTCTGATGGTGTTTTTAGGAAGGCCAGTGAGGAGTCCATTACAATAATCCACCCTGCTGGTGATGAAAGCATGCACAAGTTTCTCTAAGTCTTGACTGGAAACAAAGCATCTAATTCTTGCAATATTTTTCAGATGATAGTATGCTGATTTAGTTATTGCTTTGACATGACTACTGAAACTAAGGTCTGACTTTAGAGACACACCAAGATTCCTGACTTGATTTTTAGTTGTTAGACCCCTAGCGTCAAGGTATGCATTCACCTTGAGAACTTCATCTTTGTTTCCAAACGCAATGACTTCAGTTTTGTCTTTGTTTAACTGAAGAAAGTTTTGGCACAGTTGACTTCATCAATGCATTGGCACAGGGAGTCAATGGGGCTGTAGTCGTTAGGCGATAGGGCTAAGTAGAGCTGTGTGTCGTCTGCATAGCTGTGGTAAGAGATTCGGTTCTTTCTCATTATTTGGCTCATTGGGAGCATATACAGGTTGAATAGGAGTGGCGCAAGAATTGAGCCTTGAGGGACTCCGCATGTCATGGATGTCCACTCAGACTTATGGTCTCCTATACTCACATAATAACCTCTCCCTTCTAAGTATGACCTGAACCATTTTAGGACTATCCCAGAAAGCCCCACCCAGTTTTCCAGCCTGTCAAGAAGTATGTTGTGATCGACAGTGTCAAATGCAGCACTGAGGTCGAGTAGTACCAGCACTGATAATTTGCCTGTATCAGTATTTAAGCGAATATCGTTTATTATCTTTATGAGCGCTGTCTCTGTGCTGTGATGCGATCGGAATCCAGATTGAAAATTGTCAAAGTATCCATTCAAGCTTAGAAATTTGTTCAGCTGATTGAAGCCAACTTTTTCAATGATCTTGCCTATGAAAGGAAGATTTGAGATCGGTCTATAATTGCTTAAGATGGTCTTATCCAGATTGCTCTTTTTCAGGAGGGGCTTGACAACTGCAGTTTTCAGGGAGTTTGGAAAACTCCCAGAGAGAAGTGAGGCATTTACCACTTCTAGGAGATCTGCTTCTAAGCTGTTTAACACACTTTTGAAAAAAGATGTGGGAAGTGTGTCAAGGGCGCAGGTTGATGTTTTAAGGTGCTGTACGGTTTCTTCCAAAATTTTGCCATCAATTTCTTCGAAATCAGACATAGTAACTACTTTCTCAGGTAGTGGTCTGATCTGTTTGACCCCAGCGCAACTCAAGGATGAGCTGATCACCTTTCTGATATTATTGATTTTCTCAGAGAAGAAAGAAGCAAACTCACTGCACTTGATGTCTGAGAGCATTTCACTGGGAATCTGGCTTGGGGGGTTTGTCGGTCTCTCTACAGTAGCAAAAAGAGTGCGTGTGTTGTTTAAGTTGCTCTTTATAATATTCGAGAAGAAAGTCTGTCTAGCTTTGCCTAGTTCCATATTAAAAGCATGGATGTTGTCTTTGTAGATGTTATAATGGACTACAAGTTTTGTCTTCCGCCACATGCGCTCTGCTCTTCTGCATTGTCTTTTCATATTTTGCACAGCTGTTGAGTTTATCCAAGGTGCTTCTTGTCTACCACTATTCTTCCTGACTTTCACAGGAGCAATATCATCAATTACTCTTTTAATTTTTGAGTTAAAAGATTCAAGGAGAAAATCAACAGAGTCAGCAGATATGCTTGGTTTTAAAGATATAGCCTTCATAAATAGTACACTAGCGTTCTCATTTAAGCATCTCTTCTTGACAGACACAGATCTAGCTTCAATGGCAGGAGAGATCAGTATATCAAAGAAAATACAGAAATGATCAGGCAGTGCTACATCCTTGATAACAATCGATGAGATGTTTAGACCCTTACTGATAAGTTAATCTAGAGTGTGTCCACGATTATGTGTGGGTCCATGTACATGCTGAGTCAGATCAAAAGTTTTGAAAACAGTTTTGATTTCTTTTGCCATATTGGTTTCTGCATTATCTATGTGAATGTTAAAATCTCCAGCAATGGCAAAACAGTCAAACTCAGAGGAAATTGTTGATAACAGTTCTGTAAAGTCCTCAGCAAAGGCTGGAGAGTATTTTGGAGGCCTGTAAATAATGATAAGTAAAATACGTGGAGCACCTTTTAACACAATACCCAGATATTCGAAAGACGAGTAATTCCCAAATGATATTTGCTTACATTGATAGACATCTTTAAAAAGAGCAGCTAAGCCCCCGCCTCTCTTACCCGCTCTGCAGACACTCATAAAAGTAAAGTTAGGAGGGAATGTTTCATTGAGGACTGTTGCACTGCAGCTGTCTTCTAGCCAAGTTTCATTTAGAAACGCAAAGTCCAGGTTGTATGTCGTTATTAAGTCGTTGACTAGAAGGGATTTATTTTTAAGTGAGCGGATGTTTAAAAGTGCTAACTTAACAGTCTTACTTTTTGTCCCCACAGCGATCTTAGTTTGGCGTGTAATAGGCACCAGATTAGATGGGTTTCCTGTACGGCTTTTGAAGGCCTTAGATTTTATATCATGTAATTGAACAGCAATAGAGAAAGATACAGGCACACTGGGTTCCCGCTTGTTTTGTAAACATTTAAGAAAGTTACTGTTATCATAGCGGGGACCCGACACATATCACTGAGAGTTGGTATCAGTTGTTTTTGGTTCACCGCGAGCCGCTGGAGGATGGTGTGGGCCCTGGCGCTGTGGCAGAGGCCGAAGAGCTCTCACAGGAGGAGGAGGAGGGCGAGCTGGGCCCGCAGGCTTTGGTGGTTGTGGGGCCTGCCGTTTTTTGGTTGACATCTGGGGACTTGCAGCAAAAGAGTGGGATAGTTTGGTTTCAGCATACACCAGTTGTTCCATTTTCTCTGAGAAGCACAGAAGTGGAGTTGCTGGAGAGAGGGATAACGTGTCTGGTGAGAGGGGCTGTTGTTCTGGTGTTATCGGAGGCTGTAATATGCTGTCCTGTATTCCCTGGCTGTTTTCCAGAAAGTCGTCCTTGGGTGCTGAATCTTCTAGCAGTTCTTGTATGTCACAGTCTGTTTGTGGTGAGCTCTGTGGGCAGCGCTCTGCTGAGATTGTGTCCGTGAGCAGAGGTTGTTGTGGCTGAGTGGTGTTATCCTTGTCCTTGTGTGATGTGTCGGCCGCATGTCCATTCAGGTGCAGAAGTGAAGTCCTGTGGTCATTCATACTGTGTCCAGGTGTGTGTGTGCCATTCAGTGGATTCGCACACACTGCAGAAGGATGATTGAGAGAGAAGTAGATATTGTCCTTTAGCACTCTTGAACCAAGTTTGTTTGGGTGGAGCCCATCCTGTTGAAACAGTTGCCTCTGACTCCAGAAAAGATTGAAGTTGTCAATGAAGTTCACTCCTTTTATATTGCAGGTTTTTTGCAGCCATGTGTTGAGCCCAAGCAGCCGTGAAAACCTGTTTGTTCCTCTTGCTGGTAGTGGTCCACTGATGAATGTCTGAACTTTCAGTCTTTTAAGCGTTTCAAAAAGTTCATTGAAATCCTTCTTAAGGAGTTCTGACTGCTCTTTATGAATATCATTCTTCCCCACATGAATGATGAGTCGATTTGCAGTCTTATGTTTCATCAGAATGTTCTGAAGTTCCCTGTTTACATCAGAAGTCGTTGCTTGTGGAAGGCAGCATGTAGTTGTGTCCCTGCTAATAATGTTTCTGATTATCGAGTCACCCACTATCAGAGTCCTGGGCTCGGCTGCGCTCTGAGCTGAGTGCCGCTGTCTGCTCGACCTTGAGCGCCAGTTAGCATTAGTGTTAGCTTCTGGCTGATTCAGTCTGTGTTCAATCACATTAATCACATTCAGGGATTCCTCATTCATTAATACTTCAAATCTGTTCTCAAGATGTATAGGCAGTGGTGGGAGACCAGTGTTTGCAATCCTTGTCAGAGCCGTATCTGGGGTAGAGGATGCTACTGCAGCAATATGTGATGCTCGTGACAATCTGATGTCTCGAGTGCCTTTGGGTCTCGCTCCCTGTTTGTGCCATCGATTTGTAAGTCGATCGACTTGTTTCACTACACTTAGTATGGCCTGTATTGGAGCACTAGATTCATGGGACTCACCGGCTGTATGCTAAGGGTGTCCATGACGAAGCTCTGTTGTGTGTTCCGTCTGGTTTGGTGGTCCCACAAGTAACTTTGTTTCAAGAACTGCAATCCTTTGTAAAAGTCTCTGGCAGTTAGTGCAGCAAGTAGATTCCAGAAGAGGCATTTTCTCTTATCCTTTTGCAGCTGTGTTTTCTCTTCCCCGGAATGTAAGCAGTGGGAGGCTGGTCGGAGAAAAGAATTCTGCTTTTTTCTAGTAATCAAGCGTTTGAGCACTGTGCTAATTTGCTGAAGTTAAAATTAGGTGATAAAAGGAAATAAAATATAAAAATATAAACGATAGAGCAATAAAAAAAATAAAAGCGATAGAGCAAAGCGCGGAGCAGTAAGCAAGAGCGTCCGAACAGTAGCTGAGCAGGAAGTTGAAAGCGTAGCAGATCTATTCCACCAAGACCAAATGCGTCAACATTGCCATATCCATTACCATTACCATTGCAATCTCTATTACCATACAAATCTCCCGAGAGTTGTCATTACAGAAATATATATTTTTTTCAATTCCAGTAGGCTATATGCACATCATACTCAATATATTAAAAAGTGACGAGACTTATTTGATTAGCAGAATGAAATCTGATCAATTGTGTTGTCTGTTGAGAGTTTATCAGTCAATTATATATATATCGCGTATATAGGTACTGTATTTCAGCTGATATTTAGATTTTAATACCAAAAGCATTTTCAGATGTTTTTTTCAGATTTTGACAGTCGTTAGTTTGACGTGTGGACGGCGGTACCTTAACGGTGTCAAATTTCGAGAGCGAGAGGCTTTCTGGGTAGTGCAGCACTATGCTGGTGTTGAAGGAGTCGTCGCCTGGGTTGGCCAGCGATACGAGGACAGTGAAATGAGCTTGATTCACCACCACCAACGTGTCGTTCCTGAAGAACAAAGATGCAGAATCTTCATCACATTCTCATGTTTAATTCAAATCAGGAAGAATGGAAATATTCAGAAGCATTTACAACATTAGTATCATGTCTGATGTATCTATCAGTGGTTTCTCACGTAAAACTGAAGTTCAGCTTCAGATCGGCCACACAGCTGTTGTTTGAATTAAAGTTGCTTTGAAACGGCACCTAATAACATACAAAACAGAAACTTTCATAGAGCTTTTGAATGTTGCAGAAACTTTAGACAGTAAAGCTGAAGGAGCTGATATTTCTAGACAGAGAAAGACATGCATTTAACAAGCCTAGTGTGTATAAATTGTGATGTCAGAAGTTCAGCTTACCTCGACATACTCCTCTGTCCTGCTGTGGATGTCAAGAATAGCCGTGGAGTTTTCAGAAAGCATCTCGGTTTGTGAGAAATTCATTCGTATCTTCAGCGGAAACACTGTGTCTCTAATCCAGCACTAAAACAAACACAACATTTGCTATTAAACTGAAGCTGCTGTGATTGGCTGAAGCTGTGATAGATGAAACATACTGGCATGAAGATGGGGAATCTGGAACAGGAGATCCTAGAATCCAGCAGGATAAACTGCTGAAGAGTCCTGGACGACGGATCACTCTGATCGAAGAATCCTCGATTGATTCCTCTCATCACATCAACATTCAGGTTCAGAGAAATATTCAGGTTCTTCTCGAGAGATCCTGAGAGAGATGAGAGGGGTAAGACTTATGGACGCCTGCTCTTCATGTGACTGAGACTCTGAGATGTATTTGACGTTACCACTGCTACTGGTCCGCTCGTTCACCGTGAAACACAAAGTGAGATTAAACGCAATAAAGACTTTGTCACCCGGGCATTCAAAGTCATTCAGATTGATTTCATTGGGACTGAAACTGAGCTGCGCAGATACAGACATCACAGGCCGAGCCCTGAGAAGAGAGAGAAAAGAGTAAATAGCTAATGATACAGTGAGACTAACTGGGCCTAGAAAAACTTGACCAACTCAAACTGATAGTAAGTTTGTATGGATATGACGGTGAGGAAATTATCCCACCGGTTAATCAAGTCATGTCAAGTCACCTTTATTTATATAGCGCTTTTTACAATACAGATTGTATCAAAGCAGCTTCACAGTGATATCATGAAAATAATACAACAAAGTTTGTTTCTAGAAGAAAATTGCATCAACGTCCACCTTAAGTAAGGCAGATCAATAATATTGTTGAATATTAAATGTCCCCAACTAAGCAAGCCAAAAGCCAAGGCAACAGTGGCAAGGAACCAAAACTCCATCAGGGACAGAATGGAGAAAAAAACCTTAAAGGGGTCATATAATGGCACATGCACTTTTACAAGTTGATTGTACTGAAATGTGTGTTGGCAGTGCCTGTACACAAACATCATATAATGATAAAAATCCATCCAGTGTTTTTGTTTTAATCTCCTTATATGTTTTCCCCTGCCTCAAATTGAGCCGTTCGTTTTTGTGACGTCAATAAAACGGACGCCCCTCCCACGATTGTTGATTGACAGCCGGGTTTCAACACAGACCCGCCCTCGCTCGTGAGGGAGCGAGCTGTCAATCATAGTCTGCGTGGCGCGGACCGGACCGGCGCGGTCATTGTTGATATGCTGGAGCTGTCTATGAGCAGAATGGCGTCTAAGCGATTGTGGTGTTCTGTTCTTGGGTGTAATAACGAACACAGCAGTCATTTTAATGTTCCTAAATCCGAACCACTGAAGACGCAGTGGCTGAGTTTGTTTTCGAAGGGAATATTCCCCACGAGCAACGTCAATGCTTTCATATTTGCGCGAATCATTTCACACACCAGACTGCTTATAAACGAGGAGGGTCAGTATAAAGCTGGTTTTGCTAAGAAGTACCAACTATTCGTGTTCCTCCTGAACCTCCAAAATAACTGAAGTGAGTGTATCGTTTTATTAATCTTTAATATTTATATTAATCTTTGCAAATCACTAGATGCACGCTTCACAATTAATGCGTCTAAGGTTTACACTCAGGGTACATTACGGCATGTTTTCTATTTACGACGTTCTCAATATAATTCATAATCCCACATCTATAATGAACAACGCGTTATGGTATTGTGTTACAAACGGTGTACACAGAACAGAGAGCCGGGGTGAGCAAAGCTCATGATCATTTAAAGTCATATGCACTGAAACGGCGTGCTGAAAACAGAGCTGTTTTTGACCAGGTAAAATAAGTGTTTTCTTACAATACTAATGAGAATTTTTAATTAAAGTATATTACAAAGTTTTAATTTAGACTCTAAAGAATCATATTAGCTTGTACAAAAATGGCATTATATGACCCCTTTAAGGAGAACCCAGACTCGCTCAGTTCTCCTCTGGCCAACGAAGGAACAGTGTATGATTCGGGCAGCATTACAAGTCAGATTGGATCGGAACATTTAGAGCCGATGGCCGTCGTGTGGATGAGGCCTTCACAGGGCTGATGAGGCTGGCACTTCAGGATGAGTTGGGATGGGTCCAGGCGCAGGTCCACCATAGAGGGTCCCTCGGGATAAACAGAGAGACTAATATAAGTGTAGACGCCATCCTTCTTATGATGTACCAAGTACATCAGGATTTACGGGACATGTTCCCGGTTCCGGCTGATCTAAACTATGCAGCCTAATTTTGAATTAAGGAAATCTATAGTGTGTTATGTGTATGCTAGGCCAAAGAGATGTGTTTTTAGTCTAGCTTTGAACTGACAGAGTGTGTCTGCTTCCCGGACAATGTTAGGAAGATTGTTCCAGAGTTTTGGTGCTAAATAGGAAAAGGATCTCCCGCCTGCAGTCGATTTAGATATTCTAGGTATTATCAACTGGCCGGAATTTTGAGAACGCAATAGACGTGAAGGACTATAATGCGTTAAGAGCTCGCTCAAGTACTGAGGAGCTAAACCATTTAGTGCTTTGTAAGTAATCAGCAATATTTTAAAATTTATACGATGTTTAATAGGCAGCCAATGCAGTGTTGACAGAACCGGGCTAATATGGTCATATTTCCTAGTTTTTGGTAAGAACTCGAGCGGCTGCGTTTTGAACTAGCTGTAGTTTGTTTATTAAGCGTGCAGGGCAACCACCCAGTAGAGCATTACAATAATCTAGCCTTGATGTCATGAACGCATAAACTAATTGTTCCGCATTTGTCAATGAGAGCATATGGCGTAATTTAGATACATTTTTAAGATGGAAAAATGCAGTTTTACAGATACTAGACACGTGACTTTCAAATGAAAGATTGGTATCGAAGAGCACACCCAGGTTCCTAACCGACGACGAAGACTTAAGGCGAGACACGGCAGGCAAAAACATCGTTTTTTTTTCATTGGTCAATTTTGAGATTTTGGGCTATTTGTCTTCAATAACATGTCTTCTTTCAGACTTGTGCTGAAAAAAAGTCCAAAATACACATTTAGGTATTTATTTTACTACACTTTGTCTGTTTGCGTGTGTAGATTTCACATAAATTCATCAAAAGTTGGCGTTCTAAATCATCCCTCTGCTCCGCGGTCGCGATCTGCACCCTGTCATCACACACACCGTTAGAAAGCTCTCTCTCTCCTTTGCAACGCTATCTGATCCAAATATGGTCATTTCCTGTTTATCAGCAACCAATCTTGAAAGTAAAACCAGCGATTTAACTCGAAATGCACATCTCATTGGCTGATGTCAATTTCTGACAACGTGATTCGTTCAGAATCATCACGTGACGCGCTCTGACATTATATACATGCATCACATAATACTATACTTTACACGCTATATATACAAAACAATTACATTACACAACACATTTCAGTTTTTGTATAATATAATTACTATATAATACTTACCAAATCTGTAATTGTGGGATCCTAAAGTGGTTGTGAGTTCCTCAGGCAGAAACATATTCACCTGTGTGATGGACTGTTGAAGTGTTGTTTTGGATGTTATGATCAGTGATGGATGAAGCAATGATGAGTTTTGGATGTTAAACAGTGTGATACATTGATTTTACTTGGACCTAAAGCATATTTTGTCTGTAATTCATGGCTTTCAATAGAAATTAGTGGAATTTTGCCATACAAATCTTTAAAGGCCGTTTTCTCAAAATGAGTTTTTTCTCACACTCCTAGTGACGATTTTCCACTTCAGTAGCACCTACATACACCAAACTTTACAGTCCTATTCCTAACTATATTGTGAAGGTTTGTTCAGAGGGATTTGTTGATATATAATTTTTGGCCTGATTTATATGACATTTTATGCCTAAAAATAGGGCGGAAATCAATTTTTTAAGACTATTGGCAGTATTTTCTGATTTACAGGGTAACAAAAGGAGATATTCATAATCCCCTCTGAAAATGTCTTTTCCTTGAATATATCAACAAAATGCAACAATAATTTTGAACCTTGTTTTTTTCATCTTCAAAAAACGTCACTTCAAAATATAGGCAAATTAGCGCATATTTAATTAGATATAGCCTGATTAGCATATTTAAACAAAAAATTACAAAAAACTTGCAATACATTTTTTTCTCCAATTCATGTGAGTAATCAACTGGTAAAGTTTCATGGTGATATCTGTAAGTTAAATTTTTTAGCCTATTCACCTGTAGTGTCTCGCCTTAACAGAGCAGCCATCAAGTGTTAGACAGTATTCTAGGTTATTACGTGTGGAAGTTTTTGGTCCAATAATTAGAATCTAGTAGGAAATTACTAGTCATCCAATTTTTTATATCAGCTATGCATTCCGTTAATTTTGTGAATTGGTAAGTTTCGTTAAGGTTTTGAAGAAATATACAGCTGAGTATCATCGGCATAACAGTGAAAACTAATGCCATGTTTCCTAATGATATCTCCTAATGGTAGCATGTACAGAGTGAACAGCAGCGGTCCTAGTACTGAGCCTTGTGGTACGCCATACTGAACTTGTGATTGAAAAGACATCTCTTCATTTACTGCTACAAACTGATAATGGTCAGATAAGTATGATTTAAACCATGCTAGTGCAATTCCACTAATGCCAACATAGTTTTCTAGTCTATTTAAAATAATGTTGTGGTCAATTGTGTCAAATGCAGCACTAAGATCAAGTAACACTAATAGAGAGATACAACCGAGATTGGATGATAAGAGCAAATCATTTGTGACTCTAATGAGAGTAAATGGTAAATGGACTGCATTTATATAGCGCTTTCACAGACCCAATGGCCACCAAAGCGCTTTACAATTTGCCTCACATTCACCCATTCACTCACTCATTCATACACCGACGGGCGACGGCAGCCATGCCGTCTCAGTGCTGTCTCAGTGCTATGGTACGGTCTAAATCCGGACTGAAAACCCTCGCAGATATCATTTCTTTCTAGAAAGGAACACCGTTGTGAGGATAATGCTTTTTCCAGTATCTTTGACAGAAAAGGCAGATTCGAGATCGGCCTGTAATTGACTAATTCTGTATGATCAAGTTGCGTTTTTTTAACAAGCGGTTTTATCATAGCCAGCTTAAAGGTTTTTGGTACGTATCCTAGAGACAAAGACGAATTAATGATATTAAGAAGAGGATCTATGACCTCTGGAAGCATCTCTTTCAGTAGCTTAGTCGGTATAGGGTCTAACATACATGTTGTCGATTTAGATGATTTAACGAATTTGCAAAATTGGTAATCTCCGACTGGCGGAGTCGAACATCATTAGTGCCGACATGAATAATGATCTTAGAGAATTTACGATTAGCATTAGCCATCACTTTTAAATTTGCTTTGATGTCGGGCGCTCTGGCTCCCAGCAAACATGTGACTATGGTGGCTGGTGGCTCTATTTTCACGTTCCGTGTGATCAAATCACCAATTACCAGGGCACAATCAACAGAATTCTCAGTGGGTGTTTCACTGAGTGGGGCAAATCGATTTGTTATGGGAATCTGAACGGAAGAGTGGTTCTTTGATCCACGACTAGAGCGGCGATCCCTAACCGTCACCCATCTGCCCTGCTGCACGGGCTCTGTTTCAGCCGGAACCGAATCATGTAAAGAGTTCACTATGCTAGGCGCATCCAAAATATTATCTAAAGATCTAGCATTCTTACCATCCTCAATTAAAGTTTGGATGCGTGTCTCTAGTTCTGAAATCTTCTCCGTCAGCCTGACTGTCTCCTTGCATTTATCACATATAAATCCTATATTGCCATCGGAGAAGGCTATACTAAACACATGACATGTGACACAGGTGACAATAACAGGACAAGACATTACTCACCGTGTTTGTTGACTGATTCTTACTCACCTGGGCTTTTTCTGAACTCAAAGGCGCGGGCGCGAGAGAAAATAAATAAGTGAGCGCACGGGTGGCGCATTAACAGGCTAGCGAGTTACTAGTGTGTTGTGCTAACTATAACGGAAGCTAGCGATGATGGTTCCAACTAGAAATGATGGTTCAGAAACAGAAAGAAATACGAAGCTAATACGAGGTTTAGACGGAGCGTACAGCCTTGAAGCAAACAAACACACAGCACAATCAACGTGCGTCAACATCAACTTTTCCACCTCACTTTTCAAACGCTTATGAATGCCCATGCGGCCGTGTGCATTTTACTTTCGAATTAGCAGCAATTAGGGTGCGGCAATTTATTAAATGGTTGGTTCATTATTATTCTAAATGAAAAACACAACAACAAAAAAGTACAATGACAAACTCACTTAAATTAAACATAGAACTTTTATTTTAAAAAAAATAAAAAATTAGGCAACGGTATTAACAAAATTATTAAGCATGGCAATCTACACCATGAAGGTGTGTGTCAATTAGAAGTATTACCTCCGGCTGCTTCATCCTTCATCAGGGAAAGTTTACAAATTGCTTAATTAATGTTTGCTGGTTCCCTATTAGCATTGGGTTTAAATCCAAAACATTGACAAATAAGCGCATTTAGATTTCACTTTGAAACCAAATCTTTCGCTATCGTCTTGTCAGTCAGCTGCTGCAACTGTTGTTCGGCTCACGCTGAATTTACTAGACATGCTCAGTGTTTAATATAGTGTCTGTTCTCTAAATGATTATTTTATTACTATAAAAAAAATCTAAACGACGGTGGTGCCGTGGTGGGAGAGTGATGTAACCGGTATGCGGCTGAAAAAATTGTGTAACACTGATGGTTCAGCAAGCCTTTTTATTTGCTCAAATCATTGCATTAATTCTCCAAATTAAAGGTTAAATTACTGGCCACTAAAGTGACTGTACTCAAACAGAGCCAGAGTTCATAAATGAGACCTCGTGTTTAGCCTGTAAGATAATCTTTCCATTATTTTGTAAATGTGTTGTGAAATGTCCTACTTGAGCAGCACGATCCCTCCTTTAGCTCCGATCACGACATCTGTCAGATTATCATCGCTCATGTCCATCTGACCAGACAGAGACACTCCGAACTGCTGCAGACCGGGCAGAACCGAGCGCGCTGGAATCAACTAGACACACACACACAGAGATATCTACTGTGCTAAAGCGGTTCATCATTGTACACGTTTAGCCTGCCATGTCTGTCTGTTTATCTGAGAACATTGGGCTCGTCTGGGATTCTGGGTTAAACTGGGCACAAACACAGTGTTTGGGATTGAGGGAACTAAAGCAAACTCTCACCTGAGGAGCGTGTTCCGTGTTTATTCCACGTGTCCTGTCGCCCAGGTAGATGTAGACGACTCCCTCCCCTTCATTCTCAAGCGGCGCCCCGACTGCCACATCTGACAGGCCGTCCCCATTCAGGTCCTTTAGTGAAGCCAGAGATGCAGCAAATCTGCCGGTGTTTGACTCGTTCAGTGTCTTCTGAAAATACTACAGAGAGAGAGAGAGACCATGATCTTTATTCGTCTGCACATGACCAGCGCCAAAACAATGCATTTACATGACTTTAATGCAAATATACAGCAAATAATCACACTAACAGACAAACATTGTCTTCGTTCTGGAGGGCTACTATCCACAACTCCTACCCGACTCAAACACACCTGAACCAGCTAATCAATGTCTTCAGGATTACTAGAAAGCTACAGGCAGGAGAGTTTTTTTTTTTCAGGGTTGGAGCTAAACTCTGCAGGACAGTTTCCCTCCAGGACCGAAGTTGCCCATCGCTGCACTGGAGTAACGCAATGGTGATGACTAGCAATCTTCCAGTCACAGACCCTGAACATTAACCACATGTGTTTCTGTACTTACTAATGGAGAATGTTGTGAATCTGTCCATACCTCCTCAGATAAAGCGTAGACGTACAGCCTCCCTTCTGCCCTCGGCTGAGACTGGTGAAATAACGGAGCTCCGACCAGAAGGAAATCTGAGTCTCCATCCAAGTCCACATCCAACAGGCTCAGAGACGCGCCAAAATACGAGCCAATCTGATGCCAAAAATGAATCAAAATGTATTTAATTGCATTCTAGCATATGATCTTTATAGCCTGATGTTCACAAATTGCAGTTGCTAGGGGGTGGTTACTGGGGTGTTGCTAGGCAGGAACCGAGTGGCCGGTGAGGTTTTTGAGATGGTTTTAATGGTTTTGTAAGAGTGTTTCTAAGTGTGGTTGCTTCTTCCCTAGGATTTGTAAAGCCCTGCTCTTGCTGATGGAGAGTGTTAATATCGTGTCAGAGGGTTCTTCTTCACTAACTTGTTCTCCGGTGATGTTCCTCGTCACTGTCCATGTGCTTTCATTCTTGGTGAAGAGGGTCACCAGACCCTTGTGTTCGGCCCGCGGAGCCCCAGAGAACAGAAGAGAGACGCCGCCTCTCATTCCCAGAACAGCAGAGTAACCTGAACATCATCAGCATCATTAAAACATGCACAGACACTTCACACCAGACAAGGACGGACCAACAGCTTCAACATACCCATGTACGAGTCTTTACTGACAGATGGATCCTTAATCTCAGTCTCTTTAAATCCAGATCCTGATCCAGTCACTTCATACAGAGATCCACGCCAGTCATTAGATCCAACTGAACCCACAATCGCAGAGTCCTGAAACAAATGCAGCAGTCTCAGCTTCAGTCTCGGCTTCGCTTCAGTCTCGGCTTCAGTCTCGGCTTCAGTCTCGGCTTCAGTCTCGGCTTCAGTCTCGGCTTCAGTCTCAGCTTCAGTCTCCGCTTCAGTCTCCGCTTCAGTCTCCGCTTCAGTCTCCGCTTCAGTCTCGCGCTTCAGTCTCAGCTTCAGTCTCAGCTTCAGTCTCAGCTTCAGTCTCAGCTTCAGTCTCAGCTTCAGTCTCAGCTTCAGTCTCAGCTTCAGTCTCAGCTTCAGTCTCCGCTTCAGTCTCCGCTTCAGTCTCGCGCTTCAGTCTCCGCTTCAGTCTCGCGCTTCAGTCTCCGCTTCAGTCTCCGCTTCAGTCTCCGCTTCAGTCTCCGCTTCAGTCTCCGCTTCAGTCTCAGCTTCAGTCTCAGCTTCACTTTCGACTTCAGTCTCCGCTTCAGTCTCCGCTTCAGTCTCGGCTTCAGTCTCCGCTTCAGTCTCCGCTTCAGTCTCGGCTTCAGTCTCGGCTTCAGTCTCGGCTTCAGTCTCGGCTTCAGTCTCGGCTTCAGTCTCCGCTTCAGTCTCCGCTTCAGTCTCCGCTTCAGTCTCCGCTTCAGTCTCCGCTTCAGTCTCCGCTTCAGTCTCAGCTTCAGTCTCAGCTTCACTTTCGACTTCAGTCTCCGCTTCAGTCTCGCGCTTCAGTCTCCGCTTCAGTCTCGGCTTCAGTCTCGGCTTCAGTCTCGGCTTCAGTCTCGGCTTCAGTCTCGGCTTCAGTCTCCGCTTCAGTCTCGGCTTCAGTCTCCGCTTCAGTCTCGGCTTCAGTCTCCGCTTCAGTCTCAGCTTCAGTCTCAGCTTCAGTCTCAGCTTCAGTCTCAGCTTCACTTTCGACTTCAGTCTCCGCTTCAGTCTCCGCTTCAGTCTCCGCTTCAGTCTCCGCTTCAGTCTCCGCTTCAGTCTCCGCTTCAGTCTCCGCTTCAGTCTCCGCTTCAGTCTCGGCTTCAGTCTCGGCTTCAGTCTCGGCTTCAGTCTCGGCTTCAGTCTCGGCTTCAGTCTCGGCTTCAGTCTCAGCTTCAGTCTCAGCTTCATTTTCGACTTCAGTCTCGGCTTCAGTCTCGGCTTCAGTCTCGGCTTCAGTCTCGGCTTCAGTCTCGGCTTCAGTCTCGGCTTCAGTCTCGGCTTCAGTCTCGGCTTCAGTCTCGGCTTCAGTCTCGGCTTCAGTCTCGGCTTCAGTCTCGGCTTCAGTCTCAGCTTCAGTCTCAGCTTCACTTTCGACTTCAGTCTCCGCTTCAGTCTCGCGCTTCAGTCTCGGCTTCAGTCTCGGCTTCAGTCTCGGCTTCAGTCTCGGCTTCAGTCTCGGCTTCAGTCTCGGCTTCAGTCTCGGCTTCAGTCTCGGCTTCAGTCTCAGCTTCACTTTCGACTTCAGTCTCCGCTTCAGTCTCCGCTTCAGTCTCCGCTTCAGTCTCCGCTTCAGTCTCGGCTTCAGTCTCCGCTTCAGTCTCGGCTTCAGTCTCGGCTTCAGTCTCGGCTTCAGTCTCGGCTTCAGTCTCGGCTTCAGTCTCGGCTTCAGTCTCGGCTTCAGTCTCGGCTTCAGTCTCGGCTTCAGTCTCGGCTTCAGTCTCGGCTTCAGTCTCGGCTTCAGTCTCGGCTTCAGTCTCGGCTTCATTTTCGGCTTCAGTCTCGGCTTCAGTCTCGGCTTCAGTCTCGGCTTCAGTCTCGGCTTCAGTCTCGGCTTCAGTCTCGGCTTCAGTCTCGGCTTCAGTCTCGGCTTCAGTCTCGGCTTCAGTCTCGGCTTCAGTCTCGGCTTCAGTCTCGGCTTCAGTCTCGGCTTCATTTTCGACTTCAGTCTCGGCTTCAGTCTCGGCTTCAGTCTCGGCTTCAGTCTCGGCTTCAGTCTCGGCTTCAGTCTCGGCTTCAGTCTCGGCTTCAGTCTCGGCTTCAGTCTCGGCTTCAGTCTCGGCTTCAGTCTCGGCTTCAGTCTCGGCTTCAGTCTCGGCTTCAGTCTCGGCTTCAGTCTCGGCTTCAGTCTCGGCTTCAGTCTCGGCTTCAGTCTCGGCTTCAGTCTCAGCTTCAGTCTCAGCTTCACTTTCGACTTCAGTCTCCGCTTCAGTCTCCGCTTCAGTCTCCGCTTCAGTCTCAGCTTCAGTCTCGGCTTCAGTCTCGGCTTCAGTCTCGGCTTCAGTCTCGGCTTCAGTCTCGGCTTCAGTCTCGGCTTCAGTCTCGGCTTCAGTCTCCTCTTCAGTCTCGGCTTCAGTCTCGGCTTCAGTCTCGGCTTCAGTCTCGGCTTCAGTCTCGGCTTCAGTCTCGGCTTCAGTCTCGGCTTCAGTCTCGGCTTCAGTCTCGGCTTCAGTCTCGGCTTCAGTCTCGGCTTCAGTCTCGGCTTCAGTCTCGGCTTCAGTCTCGGCTTCAGTCTCGGCTTCAGTCTCGGCTTCAGTCTCGGCTTCAGTCTCGGCTTCAGTCTCGGCTTCAGTCTCGGCTTCAGTCTCGGCTTCAGTCTCGGCTTCAGTCTCGGCTTCAGTCTCGGCTTCAGTCTCGGCTTCAGTCTCGGCTTCAGTCTCGGCTTCAGTCTCGGCTTCAGTCTCGGCTTCAGTCTCGGCTTCAGTCTCGGCTTCAGTCTCGGCTTCAGTCTCGGCTTCAGTCTCGGCTTCAGTCTCGGCTTCAGTCTCGGCTTCAGTCTCGGCTTCAGTCTCGGCTTCAGTCTCGGCTTCAGTCTCGGCTTCAGTCTCGGCTTCAGTCTCGGCTTCAGTCTCGGCTTCAGTCTCGGCTTCAGTCTCGGCTTCAGTCTCGGCTTCAGTCTCGGCTTCAGTCTCGGCTTCAGTCTCGGCTTCAGTCTCGGCTTCAGTCTCGGCTTCAGTCTCGGCTTCAGTCTCGGCTTCAGTCTCGGCTTCAGTCTCGGCTTCAGTCTCGGCTTCAGTCTCGGCTTCAGTCTCGGCTTCAGTTATAGCTTCAGTCTCCGCTTCAGTCTCCGCTTCAGTCTCCGCTTCAGTCTCCGCTTCAGTCTCAGCTTCAGTTATAGCTTCAGGCTCCGCTTCAGTCTCAGCTTCAGTTATAGCTTCAGTCTCAGCATATTGACTCATTACAAACAATAATCACCAGAGATTCCATTTCTTAGAGCCTGTGTCTGAGTTTTGATTGTGACATTTAGCAGCAAATAAACTAAAGTGTTTTCCCTTTTCAAACTGGTTTTACTTCAGTACCCAAATTTAATATCAAGTGGCGACCCAAAATTGATTATCATATCACATCGTAAAAGTAAACAGAAATGTTGAAATTTTTCCTTTTTTTGAATGGATTATTTATTTTTGTTTGACATTTTTAAGAATTTGTATGTTCCCCCACAAACTTAGAGCCTAGTTTAAGAAACCTTGCCTTCATAGAAATCATAAAAAGTGACCGCCTAGGTCTCGGAACTCCTGCTGCATAGTTACGCTGTGGGAACACCCCTGTGTGATTGCATCGTGAAGCACGTGTATAATCAGTCCAATGGAAGAGCGAGATGGCATAGGCGGGTGACGTCATAGACAAGGAAGCTATAAAGCACCCCCATACCCACTACGCCATAATGACAAGTGCCCGTTCTGTGTGAAGTCCTTGCGCAAACTAAGAAGCAAGCAATCTAGCCCCCGGAGTGGAGAAGTCTTAGAATTTGACAAATGTATGCAGCGAGGACCAGCCTGCCGCATCACAAACGTCATGAAGGGAAACTTCCGAAATTAAAGCCATACTGATCGTAGAATGGGCCCGGACCGCCAAAGGTGAAGGCTGTCCGACCTCTTCATAAGCAAGTTAGATAGCCTCAACTACCCACTTGCTCATAATCTGTTTTGATGCAGGGCAAACTTTCTTCGTTGAACTGAAGCAGACAAATAACTGCTCTGATCTACGCCACAGGGCAGCTCTCTAAATGTAGGCATCCAAAGCCCTAACGGGACAAATTGAGTCTTTCCTGATCTAGGGTATAAAAGGTGGAGGGCAAAAGGCCAGCAACACAATTGGGCCTGCAACATTAGTAGGGACCTTAGGAATGTAACCCTGACCAGGTTGACACTTCAGCGTGAGAAATCGGGGGTGTGGCGTGTGAGCGTGTGAAACCAATCAAATGCGTGTGTCTCACGGCCAATGCGTGAGAGTTGGCAGCTCTGCAATGAGAGCATATGTCGTAATTTAGATATATTTTTAAGATGGAAGAATGTGGTTTTACAGATACTAGACACGTGCCTTTCAAATGAAAGATTGGTATCAAAGAGCACACCCAGGTTCCTAATCGACGACGAAGACTTGACAGAGCAGCCATCAAGTGTTAGACAGTATTCTAGGTTATTATGTGAGGAAGTTTTTTGTCCAATAATTAGAATCTCTGTTTTTTTTTTTCAGAATTTAGTAGTAGGAAATTACTAGTCATCCAAGCTGACAGGTGCCTGATCTGAGTATTGAAGCTGACAAAATAAAGTTAAAGGACAGATACAGGCAGATGTACAGAGTGAAACTCATCTCTATTTCTGAGCCATTCAACCACTCAGCTCACTAATCTTTGATGAAGCTTGTGTGGGTGTTGCTTTAAAAGAGCAGGCGATGTTAAGTGGGTGTCTCTGGAAATTAGGATATTACCGTCCTATCACTGTTTTTTTACCAATCTATATTAAGTAATTATGGAATAATGAATAATAATGAATAATGAAAGCTTAGGAATATAATATCAATTACATTATATCTACTTGTCCATGTTTCCTTGACCGTGTTTTTCCTTAGAATGTCCTCTAGATGTCAGTCTTTCAATTTGACTTTTGCTGAGCAAAAAAAGTGAAAAAGAAAAAAGACTGCCTCAACAAAATCATTCAGTGACAAATGCTAATACTAAGGTATAAAGAATTTATCAAACTGTTAGATTTGCATATTCATATTTTAAGGTGTCTACTATGTATTAACTAGTAAAGAAAAATATATTTAGTCATCTAACATGTTTTAACAATCATTTTAAATATTATTAAACACGTCTGTGGAATATGATTCTGATTGAT